GAGAGAATGAACTGCCCACTGAGAGAAGTCCTGAGGAGAAGGACTTCTGGTGGTTGATGAGAAGCTCAGCATGACCTGGCAATGTACATGCTTCTCCTCCCCTACTCTGCTCTTGTGAGACCCCACCTCCAGTACCGTGTTTTCTACCAGCCTGTGATTAAACGGAAACTCCATGCCATGAAAGGATGCAGTGGATTCTAAATTATACATGGATTTAAAAGCACCTGAACAAAATAATGGAAGAAAAATCCCCTGAAAGCTACTATATAGTAGCACGTGTGGCTGAGAAAGTGCATTAATTTATTGAAGGCTGGGAGAGGATGCTACATACTTCCATGTTCTTACACTCTTCCTTAAACAACTGCTAGCATCCAGTTCTGGAGACAGAATTTCTTTGATTTAACTCATTGGTTATGTTCTTATGACTTATTGGTTGGGGTTTTTTTTTCAAATTTTTTGCTTTCTCCTGTGTTTTCCAAAGATTAGTTGCACTCTGTGTGATTACAGGCTATTGTTTCTTAATTTCTAACAAAAAACAAGTAGATGTAACCCATTTCAATCCATACCAGTACATAGCCTGATTTAGACATTTCGCTTGTTTCAGGGTATAAACTAGTGTCTCTGAAGGCTAACCAGCTTTCCTAACAACATCCTATGAATCACAGTAAGAACAGGCTTCTTTCTAAAGCAACATATGTGAACACTTCTGGCGGCTGTTTGCACATAAGATGGGCCAATGACCTGATCCATAACTTATGAGGCATATTGTTTGATAATGACAAGAATTACAAGCTTGAAGTTCATAAAATAACTTGTGTTTCACATCTAAAAAGTTATCTTTAATAAGCTTTCTATGAGTTCATGAAAATTGGTATTTTCCTAATGTTTAACCTCTGAGAAATTTCAAAAACCATACATGAAGATTATAATCAATATTATTCAGGTAGCAGTATATTCTCTTTCAAAGCATAACCTTTTAGGTGAAGCTTAACTATTGATTACTAAATGGCACTATTTCTTGCCATTTCCATTGGCTGAGATGTAGTGGAGAGAATTTCCTAAATAAATCCACATTGGAGCATGCTTCAGAAGGGTTACCACTGACTGGGAAGAAAGAGTTAACTGTGTTTTTATGCACATTTGTTGCTGTGGCTGCATTACATCTTAAAATATAGGTTCAGACACATTCACCCAAATCCATCCTAGAGTGCACAGTGTATGACCTCTATTTCTCTGGTACTGAACTAAGACTTTCTGGTCAATCTGGAAGCATCCTGAGGCTTTCATCAGTCTTTTAATTCCTGGATTATTTTCTTCTGCCTAAAGTTTCCCTTCTGCTTCCCTTTTGTTTGCTCCATCTCTTCTGGGAGGGTGATTCACAGTTAATCAGCTCATGTATTCTGAGACATTCAAAAATACTGCTCTGTGGACAGGCCAGCAGGCATTGCTGTCCCCCTTGTGTGGTTAAACCCTACTCTTTCCTTAGGGGCTTCACTGTCTCTGCTGCCCTGTAACTGTTACACAATAACGACCAAAGCATTGGACCAGCTGCAGACATTAGTGCCATAACTGCAGGAAATGTAATTTGGGATACCTAATGAGCAGGTTCTTTACATAAATACACCAGGAAAAGCTCAATTAAAAAAAAAAAATCTACACAAATTAACGTTAGGCAGATAGAGAGAAAAACTTCCTCAGTTGAACAGGGACATCTACATTCTGTTTAACGTTTTTGTTTTCCCATTATCTTTTAGCACTTTCATACAGAAAAGATGATTTTCACAATTTTAACAAATAGTTAAATATTCAGTCTCTAGTTAGGTGAAATTTTGCACGAATTCTCCTATTTTATCATTGTCAGCTGGAGGGTACAAGATGTGCTCTGTATCCATGGACTGGATACTGGAATGTACCTGACTTTACATCATATAAACATTACTTAACAACAACTTAAAACATCAGTGTGTTACCAGCACTGTTCTCAGACAGAAGTCGAAAACACAGCACTGCATCAGCTACTAAGAAGGAGAAAAATAACTGCTACACAAGAACCCAGGACAATACAAAATAACATTAGAGTGTACCATACTAATTCCATATTAAGTGCCTGTTTTATGCTTTAACTAGAAGAAATTCTGGTCACTCATCCTCTCCTTACCTTTCTGGTTTCCTGTGTCTCAGCATTACCGGATTTACAAGCTCACACTTTTTTATTAGGCAGCTTTTAAAACAGAGTTTCCACAGACTGGATTTGCAGTGTTCATGTTGCCAGACACACTACTGTGTCTTCTCTAGCGAGGACAGAATCTGACAATTTTCCATTCACATTCCTATTAATTTTTATTAATAATATTCCTCTCTATTAACTGTGAGTTTGAGATAAGTCATCCTCTTCTGAAGATACGCTAACACACTGTTTTTCAGCTTATCTCACACTTATCACATAACGTCCTGCTAAAAAGTTTCAGTGTGCACCCGCACATTATCCAGGTTGATGAACAGGTAGCAACATGGGGTTGCTGTTGTAACTTCTTCCTTTAGCGGTAGGAAAATACACTCATTGCAAATCAGTCACCTCCAAAATAGATGTTTCACTGAGGCACATTTAAAGGAAAATACAAAACACTATTTTTACAAGGCATTTTTCTGGCATTTGTTAGTTATCAGAGACTAGCATGCTATCCAGCAAACTGGATAAACTTGAGTATCCAGTCCTCTCGGTCTAGTTCTTGAAATTCAATGTTTACACCTTGTTTTCTCCATGTTGGGGTGAATGTGTACTTCCTAATCATTCATTTGCTCTGTGAGAGGGTTTAAATTGCTCATTTGAATCACCATTTTACTCTTTAGTATGTCCAGTCTAAAAACTATCACATGTAAACCAGTTCACTATTCTTGCATACTACATTGTCTCCATTAAATATTCAGTAATCTGTTCATATTAATACGTTTCTCAAAACTTTAAAAAGCACACTAAACAGAAGAGACCAAAACTAGAACTGTGAGTCTCTGCTTTACCTCCTATGTTTAATGTCAATCCATTTTCCAAAAAGAGTGATGTTTGGGTTTTGGCGTGAGTTTTTTTTCTCTTGCTTGAGTTATTTTATACTGCACCAGCATTGTATTTACCAGCTTATTTTTTTCCTCATTACTGACCATGGTGTTTTGTTGTTTAGTTTCTTCTTTTGTAACCATTTAACCGATACTTCTATTAACTTACCTTCATTTGATGGTTGTATGTATAACCCTTAGTGTACTGGTTTATTTAAAGGGGAAGAATATCCCTGGTCTCAACACAGTAGTTTTGGTTAAAAAGCTACTTCATACTGATACTGGCATTTCTGTATGAGACAGGGAACACTGATATGGGTCACCTTTATATAACACATGTCAGGAAGCATCAAAACCCTAGGGACAGCTGCAGCTGAGGGTGATCACAATGCAGGATGGGCAAAGAGCAACGAGGCATAGCCCAGCAGACGAGCTAGGTGGCTGAGCTGGAGTGCTGACAGCAACAGATCCTTACGACTGTCTGGTGGCCGCCAGACAAAACCAAGGTAACAGGTCTAAGGTCAGCCAAGGAAATCTAGACAATAATTCAGGGCTGGATACAGGTACAGCTACACAACTGAATGCTGAGGTCTGAGCTTACGTAGGACTCTTGCGGCAGAGGGCATGAGTGGAAGGCTGTGGTGGAAGCACCTCAAGTACTCAGATGAGTACTAGAAACACTCCTCATCTACCCAAACATCTCTTTGATAACTGCGAATAAATCTTCCAGGACTTTTTGCATAAAGGTTTACCGTATTTTGTACTTGTTACTTGAATAAGCATGATACGATTTCTCCTACCCAGCCTCTCTGGGGAGCAAATGGGACATAAAAGTTATCTCAGATAGGATATTCTCTCTCCTGTCTTTTTAGCTGACTAGCTTCTTCAGCCAAGAGGTTGGCTCCCACAGTGATTTTCAATTTAGAGGTCTTTTTAAGCCAAACTTCCAATCTTTTTATTCCCTACTGCAGACCAACTCTAACTCTACAAAGTTAGTTGTTAAATTACACCAGAAATTGTCCAAACCTTCCTGAAAACCTCCTGTAAAACATGTTTAATAAAATTGTTGGGTACCTGTTCTTGATCCTGTTTCCCAACTCCAACATGGCATGTTTCAAAATCTCTCTCACTGCAATTTTAGAGGCAATGTAAGCTTTGTTTTCAGCAGACTGCACTTCATCTCTCCTTCGTTTCTTTGTGAGAAGTCTCCAGTCCCCTTTATGGCCCTACTGGGGCTTGTAATTCTTTCTAGCCATCCTTTGCTGCCTTTTTAGCCACTTTGGTTTCTGTGACCAACAGTGCAAAAGGTTCTATCATCACTCTGCAAGAGCACCATCCCACAGCCCCTCTTTCTGCCTTCTTTTCTTTGACTTTTTCATCCCTGGGCACCAGACACATACAATGGGCCTGGGACTCCATTGCAGGTCTTGCCAGGCTGGCTGCTGTCGCTGCGGTGATGGCTCACCTGGATGGGCTTTCCAGGATGGACATTCCTGCTCCTCATGTGCTCTGGATACCAGTCCTCAGTGAGCTGCGGGCTCTGGATCACGCTTTGCGGCGCGTTTTGGCCCAGGCCACGGTTTAATTCCCAAACTGGGACGCAAGGCGCCATGGCAGTCACAGACACAGCTCCCCCTCCACGCCCGGCTGCTGGAGGGCAGTGTCCCACTCAACCCCATTCCCGGCGATCCTGCTCAGTGTGGCTCTTGGCTGCCTTTTAGCCGACTTTTAGTCGCCTTTAAGGCGCAGAGCGCGGCTGAGGAGCGCTGCCCCCCGCCAGGCGCAGGACACCCGCCTGAGGCACCCTGAGGCGGGAAGGGGGGACAGGACGGTCTCCGCACGCGCGCCGAGCGTGCGTTGCCAGGCCAACACGGCGGGGCGCGCGCCGGGCTCCACGGCGCCAGCCGGCAGCTGGCCCCGCCCGCGAGGCTCCCGCCGGACTACAGCTCCCAGCAGCTCCCGCTCCGCGCCGTGACTCGGCTGAGGCGACGGCGGCGCTGGGCGGGATGGAGTGAGGGGGCGAGCGGCGGAGAGAGCGCAGCCCACCGAGCCCCGACCCCCTCCCCCTTGCCTCTCTCTGGTCCGGGTCTATGCGGCCCCCCAGAGACCATGGGATCCAGGATCAAGTGAGTGCCCCTCGGAGCTCTCCAGTCCCGCTCGCAGGCCCTCAGGAAAGCGGGAGGGCTCTGGAGAGCGAGAAGGGGACTTCCCCGCCCTCCGTCCAGCTCCGTGTGAGGCCGCGCGGGCGAGACCCCGGCCCAGCCTGAAGGCCTCGGGGTAGGGCGAGGAAGAGGGGGAGAAAGAAAGGGGGAAAGTGCTTCTCACCCCGCCAGGCCAGCTGGCAGGCCGGGGAGGGAGGAGGCGGCGGGGCAGAGGGCCTCACTCCCCAACTGCCTGGGCGGGGAGTCCCCACGCCGTCGGGGGGGGGAAGTCGCTTCCCGCCTTCAAACCGCACACTGGGTTGTTGTCGCTCCCGTTCTCCCTATCTTCAGCTCTCCGTGTGGCAGCGGATAGGGGCAGGCTGTGAGGGCAGGTTGAGTGTTATCGGTGCAGGCCTTGAGGAGGATTGGGGCTGCTGGAGTGGGAAAGTCTTCGTGGCCAGCACCGGTGAACTCTGTTTTGGGGTGTGGTGGGTTGAGAGAGTTCAAAGCCTCCTTGCCTAGAGTGCGCCGAAGGAAAGATGGATAGTCTAGCTAGGATATCTTGAAAGTGTGTTGGCAAGGGGATTTGGGGGGAGAAAAGTGGTGCAAGAGGCTAATGTGTTGGGCCTGCGGATGCATGCCCTCAATATTTTTTCAATTTTCATAAAGCTGGGGGCTGATTTGTTGGTAAGCCCTGCTAGTATGTTTGGTATTGTTACATTAACGATCTCAGTTTGTTCATATGCCATTCCAGGCGAATTCTGTTCCTCTGAGATAGGTAGAGGTGTAATAAAGCTATCACCAAGCAGGGAGTGCTGACATCTTTGTGCATGAAAGGTGTGATAGAGTGGAGAGACCCAGTTAGATTGTATTTTATTCAGCATTTTCAGTAGGTGCTGTTGAGCAATTGCTTTTCCTTCTTCAGTACAGCATTCTTCAAGATTACACAGGGCTTTAACTTTTCACCTCTTGTTTAACTCGAACATGAGACTGGAGGAGACATAGTTTGTAGCAGCTTTAGTGTGATGACACATCTTCATGTTCGCAAGCCCACAGGCTGAATAGACATAAGTGTGTGTCTATCCAGTCAGGTGTTTTAGGAAGACGTAAGTGGATAATGAGTGCTTGTAGTGATACCACTGAGATGATTGGTTGGTTCTGGAAAGCAATCTTCCTTCTTCAGGAGACACTGTGGGGATAACTTTTGCGCTTTTCTGGTGTATGGGTTCTCAGCTGTTGCTACAGTAAATGAAAGAGAAGCTAGTTAAACTCTTAGCTTACATTGAACTACAGGTAAAACCTAAAATGTGTAACTATTTTGACAGCAGAGCAGGCAGTGTCTGTAACTTGCACTTTCAGATCATAGTAGTGGTCCCCATTGCTTGGGTCACTTCAAGATTATGATCTGAAATGATGTATCATGATGACCTTACCTTAAAGCTATTAAAAGGCTGATGCTCACTTAACATGTAGTTTTTGTGTACTTACTGAATCCACAAGCTATGCTTGCCATTTTGGGGGTTTTGGTTGCTAATTCGACCTTTAATGGCTTTGCATATGCTTTGTTGAATGTGAATGTAATTACTCAGATGAGACACTTCAGCTGAAAACCTTCGGGTGGGTGTTAGTGAGATGTAGCAGTTAGAAGTATCTGTTACAGCCAGTGGACTTCAGGACTTTTGCTGTGCAAAGTCTTTCAGTGTGAACATGTCTTTGTCACCAGGAAAAAGACAGGTGATAACGCTATATAAACATAACTTTTCGTTCCTCTTGGACTTTGTGAGAAAGAATTTTGACCAGTGTGTGATTAAACAAGACTTTGTCTTGAGCAACAAGTAATAAATTGCCTTTTTGCACTTTGGACAGAACTTTGTGCCCATGTAGAGTAAGGACAGTATTTCCAAACAATCTTGAAATGTATAAAGAATGAGTGAGCCTATATGAGTAAGAGGCTTTTCTGATCTGCTCTTCTGAGCTGGATGTTTAATCCAGCAAAGGTTTTCAAGTTGATAAGTAGTTCCTTTATTGGGGCAGGTGGGAGCATGAATGAGAGAACTCTTTTATGATTGGGTATGCTCAGGTATGCCCCCTTTGGTGGTGTCACCAGTATGTTGTAGCCCTAGCAAAAATCCAGTAGTCAGATCTGTTGCTTGTTGCTGTTGATTGATAATTATGAGAGATATTAAACTCCTTGGCACATGATCACTTGCACACGCTGTCTGCATGAAACCTGGACATATGTGTCAGTTAGATTTTTGATGGATTTTTAGTAATGAGTCATTTGAATGAAAGATCGCTTAGAGAAAATTATCAGTAGCTGCATCAGACTGACGTGAAAGAAATCAAGAGATTGCCAGCAGTCCTGTAAACTTTTGGCTTGTGTATAGCCGCAGGCGACAAAAAGGTAAATTGAGTGTTGGATGACACTATTGGGTTAAGCTTCATGTTGGAGCATGTCATACGGTATGTGCAAGGCACTCTGTGCCAGTGAGGTAATGTAAAATAGGCATGGAGTTAACCTGGCTGCTAGTGCTTCTTGGTAGCCTTCAGTACTCAAGATGTTACGAGAGAGAGAGAGGAAGAAAGGATTCTTTTTTTAATGTGTTAATATCAGTCTGTTTAGCAGAGTTGCATTGCATCCTGAAGAAATTTGACGTGTTCCTTTCCAGAGGTAGTTGTATTTCAGTGATGATAGAAGAGATCCCTCATATTAATTTGGGAATCCTTTCAGATATTTAACATGAAGTTTGCTATACACTGAAATGTAGTATTATCTACCAAGGGAATACCAGGCAGAATAACTTAAATGTATGGAAATGAATCACAGTTTGAGGTGCAGTTTCTGAATTGAATTAGCAGTTACAGCTTTCTGCTAATAATTTTTTTCTGCAAGAGTTGAGCAACTGAGTCTTGTTACGAGACAGCTAATTATCAGGCAGTGTCAGGCTCTTCTCTCATGCCTCAATTTTTAAGTAGAATGATACTTTCTGTCATAAGTGCTATAGATACTGTAAATGGTACATATCTCTATGTAAAATAGAAGTTCTTATGGATTGCTTTGATACTAAAGCTACTTCTACATCAAAGAGATTTTAAGTAATTATACACAAATTTATCACAAATGCATTTTTTTCTCGTAGAACTGCTTCCTAAATTTATATTTAGAAAAAAATCCTTAAATTATCCAGTTATCAAATATATGGGCTACTATGTATTTTTGTACACATTTTGTACATATATATTTTTTAATTGCATCTGTATGTTCACTTGATGGCTGACCATGGATCTTTAAGTGATTATTGTGAGGAAAGAAAACTTTGTGTGTTTGTGTTTAAGGGTATAGTGCTGTGGATGATATCTGTGGGTTGAGGTCTTAATACAATGCACAGGTGCTATCAGATGCAGGTTATTTTAATAGTCAACAAAATGGACTGCAAAATATACATATTCTTATGCATGTTCATGCTATATTTGCAAACTGTATGAAGTCTCATAGTGACTTGTTGCCTTAATTCCACTGCAAAATTATAGAATACACAGAATTCAACAATGACTTCATTCTCATGCTGAGGTGTTGGCTGCTTGAATGCAGCCTTTAATACTAAGTTTCTGACTTGGCAAAGTTACTTTAATTTTGCTGTTCATAGAAATAAGTGGACGCTTGTCATGGAATATTAAAATACAAAATATGATGTCTTTTTGTCTGAAATTTTTGGTATATAGTATGTGCTCTTGCCAGCTGTGTTATATAGTGTTTTTACAAAAAAAATTTGAACAAAGACTCTAGCATAATACTAAAAAGGTGTTTGTTATTTTATCCATTAGCTGTAAGAAGATTATAAAATTCATAAACTTTTAATTAAGGAGATAGGGTGCTAAAAATAAAAACATGAACAAGGAGGGTAAGATAAGGCTGCACGGCAGTATACATGTAAGGAAAAACACATTTCTGGTGTTACATGGCTGTCATTTCATCCTCATCCTGTACCATGATTTTAGGAATGTAGCTGAGAATCTCCATATTCAAAGCAGAATATATGCAGCAACTCTTAAGTAGCACAGACAGAATTATGCAAGTTTGTTTTATAATTTAAAATAATAGTTGATTTATTGATTTTGGATTTCTCAGAACCTATGAGTATAGTTATCTGAAAAATGGATATTTAAATCAGATGGGAACTGGTGGCAAATTAAATTAACGTTCACTGAATTGTGAACCATTGTTGCTCCTGAGAGATGCTCTGTAAAACTGCAGAGCATGATCCTGTACTACTGAAACCAACAGTAGCTTTCCTCTCGGTTTAAATAGGTGTGGGGTTTGGCTTAGAGCCACTTGAGTTATACTAAATGGGCCTGTGGCATGGTTAGAAATGTTTTATTTAATCCCTTTTGGTGTTAAAGTAGGATTAAAAATAATAGAAATTCTCTGAAAAGTAGGCTGAAGTCCTTGACATGTTTATGTTTGGTTTGAGGTGCTGGGTAAGATGAGTTTTATTTTTTAAATGATTATTCAGGTAGGAATTCTAGCATGTATATATATATATGGGATTTGTCATAATTTTCATCCTTAACTGTAAGGAGGCTAACAAAATTCACAAGTTAATTATACCTCAGCCATTTTCTAATGTTAGATAGTTTACATTAACACCTAGGAGACAATATTATCACTGTACAAGCAGCCATAAATTTAGAGCAGCAATTATGCAATTTTCATTCGTGGTTTTAACCAGAAAGTCTAAGAATAAAGTGTCACATCTTGAGACTTACAAAATCTTTATTTCAGTAACTAAACAATTACAGCCCAATGTGTGATTCTCTTTAATCTCATAAAAAATTTTGGAGTAGCTAAAATTGTTAGAGTCAGCAATTTGACTCAAAATATGCATGCTTATATAATCACCTGCTGCCTTTACATGGTTCTTATGAAATGTAATTCCAGAGCTTCACTTCTGGAGTTATATTAGTGAAAACTGGAACTGTACGCTTAATGTTTTGTTGTTTTCAAATCTCAAACTCATTAAGTTTTAGCTTTATCATTAGCTTTTAACTTTTATTACTGGTGTATTTATAACTGTGGAGCAGAATAAGTCTCCAGCTTCATTTACATTTTGTAGCTGAATTTGGTATAATTTTTGACTATCACACCTGTTTCCTTATTTCATGTGCATGTGGAAGCTCTCTGGATTTAAGATTCTGGAGTCTCATGAGGTGAAACCTTGTGCATTTGCAACGTTCTTCAGCATGGCCTTTTTTTGACAAAGAAGTAGAAATATTTTGACAGGTATTAAAGGGTGGAGCTGTCTTCACCCTAAATACAGCAGCTGAAGTTTTCCAGTAATGTATGCATAAAATGACTTTGCATCCTCGACTGCAGCTTCCTTTTTTCTCTTCTGTCCTGAGCAAATGGGTGTCATGAAACCAAACTCAAGGGTCACAGTAATGATAATGTGAATCTGTGTTGTTTGTCCTGTGTTGGACAATGCAACTGTTTTCAGTTTGGTGAAAAGGGTATTCAGGATTCCTTTGTCTTTTAAATCCCTGTATTTAGCACATAAGTGATTTATTTTCTTATTTGAAAGTAAAGGTGAAATAAAAAGAACTTGCTTTTGCAAGTTGGTCATGTAATCAGAATTACTGTTGTGGCTAAAAGCTGAAATAAGTGTTGTTTTTCTGTCTGAGTAGCATTCTGAAATGTGATATAGAAGGCATGGGTTTATTTTTCTGGCAAAGCTCTGAACCATAGGCCTGTGATATTTTAGTATCTAGAAATGCAGACTAGTCACAACAATGACTTAAAGGTTGTGTGTGCTTGATTTCTATTGTTCTTACCTGTCTTTCTCTGTAGAAGTTTGTTAGACACCCTGTTCATACCAACTCATCTGAGTTGTCAGTTGTATCTTGTTACAGACTAGTAAGGCAGAAAGATTTGATGTGAAACCATCACAGACGATAGGTCCAGAAATTTAGTTTATTCTGAGATATGCATTGTTAGAACCCTTTTTACTGTGTAGTTGAAAGTACACTTGGAAAAAAAACTTAATGTGCTAAACACTGGGTTTTTTTTTTTTCCTTTCAGGCAAAATCCGGACACTACCTTTGAAGTGTACGCAGAAGTCACCTACTCGGGAATCAGTTGCGTTGGGAAAGGTATTGTTTTGCACTGTAATTCTATCTATTTATTGGCTAAACCTATTCTTAAGAACCACGGACTTTGAAATAATGAGGCATATTTAATACTGTGCTGTTCTAGCTTTTAAAGATCCCTTAATCACTGGTTCTGTGGGATCTTTCACATTTAGGACTAACAAGGAGAAGTTTTTGTCTCCGTCCCTGGTTATGGGCAGTTTTCTTTGACTGTTTTGCCTTTTTTATTTGTCTTTTAAAATAGAAATAACTCTTGGTTCATTAAGTTGAAAAAATAAATGTATTTCAGACTTGTATTTGCTGCTCATAGGAGGAATGGGTAGTTTTAAAACAAAAAATACTCTCAAATTTCTTGTGCGGAATTTACATTTGCTTCCTCTTTCTTACTTGCTACAGAAGTACTTTTATCTGTTCCCAGGATTTTTCTCTCGATCAGATGCTTTTATCTAGAAATAAGGCATGAATACAGCATATGATTTGGTTATCTATTTTTACCAGACATTGTTATTAATCCATAATTATGCAAGTATTTTTTTGAATATTATTTCTGGCAAGTATTCCTGTGTTTGTGCTAGAGAAGTCTCATAACTGCTGAAATCAACATGTAAATATACCTTTGAATTTTTGATGGTGCTTCTTTCTAAATCTGAGGGATTTGGTCAAATAAGCAGGAAAACCAAAGGCTGAAACTTGTAATCTCAGAATTTAGTTTAAGATGCTGTTTTGTGAGATCAGTCTCTAGAATGTTATGAAAAGGGGTGGAGTAAAAATTAAACCATGATGATGAGTCAACAGATACTGAAGTAATATTTCTTTTATGAAGTTATCATGTGTATATTGTACATATGTCTATCCAGTAGAAAGGATTTTTGTGTTTTCTCAACTGGAAAGCCACTTACCTCCTTTTATATTTGTATTTGTTACAATCGACGAAAGTGGAATAGCTGCTACTCTTTCCTTTACTGCCAAGGCCTCCATAGGAGTTGTAACTGGAATACAGTCTTGGCTTCTCCTACTGCTATATGCCATGAAGACTATTTGATGTAACTGCAGGAGCCTTTTTAATAACTAGTCTTTGTTTCTGCACATCTGACCTGGATTCTAGTGCCAGAAAATCCAAACAAATTTGACCATAAACATTACATTGTACAGTACTAGTGTCTGGGTATAATCTTCTCTTTGAAGTTTGTTTGCATCCCCCTGGAGGGATTAGTTCCCTGCTGTGGGAAGGTGGGTTAAAAAGCAAGGAAACTACTTTACAGGTTTTTAATTGGAGAATTTAGTATACATTTTGTTCTATAAACCAACTGATTTTGTGGGAGTTTCTCTTGGTTGGGATTTTAGGTTTGTTGTATGCACTTGTAGGTGCAAAATCATAAGAAAATGTTTTTAGTGAGTAAAAAAATGTTCTAGTAATTGCTTTTATAACTCGCATATTCTGAAGTTGATTCTCCCTGAATAATTTTTTAAAAGATCTTTCCCAACCAATTGTTATATATTTAAGAACCACTCATTATTTTCAGATTTGGGTATCCCCAGATATTCTGTCATATTCTAAATGAAAGCTGTGGTTTGGTTCTCCTCATTGTCAGCTGTCCTTAACAGCCATTCAGTATCCTGGGCAAAGGACCATTCTGGAAATACAAACCTAGAGACCTCCATGTGGTCTTTTCTAATTCTTGGTAGAAAACCAAGAATATGTATCAACTTTTGGGCTGGTTTTTTTTGCAGTCAGTGAATGTATGTTACATGGCAAGCAGCAGTTATTATTAAGAAAAGCAAAATGTATAAAAGGTGTATAAGGAGAAAATTATTAGTTTTTTAAAAAAACCTATTTCTTCCCATGTAATGGATCCCAAAATTAATCAAGACAGCTGGTTTTGAAGTTTGTGTGCTGTTCATCACTGACAGTGCTCTTAATTCTTGTATCAGTCTTCTGGCATGGTTTTGAGGAGAATGAATTGCTCCAAAGCTGTGACAGCCCTTGTGTGGGAGATTGTGTGGCTTGTGGGATGGTAAAACATGCCTCTTGTTGTATTCAGAAGTTTGTGTAGCTGTGGTTGTTAAACCCCAGCCGGCAGCTGAGCACCACGCAGCTGCTCACTCCTCCCTGCTGGGATGGGGGAAGAATCAGAAGAGTGAAAGTATGAAAGTAGCAAAGGATGTTTTCCATGTGTCTGTTAAATATCAACTGAAATTAACATCTTTAGTTCACTTCATGTTGCTGTAAGGGGAGATACTCGTGTTATTTACTATTTATAATTGTACATTCAAGTAGTTTTACTGCTCCCGTAATTGTTAATAATCTTGGCTTATATGTTTATTTGGTTAATTACTTTTGAAATTAATGAAAGCAGCATTATCCATTGACTATCGTATAGAATCATAGAATCATTTAAGTTGGAAAACTCCTTTAAGATCATGGAGTCCAACTGCTAACCCAGCACTGCCAAATCCACCTCTAAACCATGTCCCTAAGTACCACATTTGCATGTCTTTTAAACACCTCCAGGGATGGTGACTCCATCATTTCCCTGAACAGCCTGTTCCAATGCTTGATACAGAAGGCTCCCTCTTGCTTACCAAGATAGTGGACTGCAGAAGGTAAAAATCTGTTCTGGGCTTCAAGAAAGACTTCAGTAAACTGGAACAAGTTCAATGGAGGGCCACCAAGATGGTGAGTGAGCTAGAGTACTTGCACCATGAGGAGAGGTTCAGAATGCTGGGCTTGTTTAACCTGGAGAAGACTTCAAGGAATCTGAAGAGTAGCCTTCCATACCTAGGAGGAATTCATCAAGATTAGATATCCAGGCTCCTTAAGATAGTGTGTGGCAGGACAAGAGGCAATAACAGACTGAATCAAGAGGCGTTTGAATTGAGTATCAGGAATGTGTTCATCATGAGGACAGTCAAGAATTGGACCATGTCACTCACAGAGTTTGTGCAATCTCCATCCTTGGAGGTTTTCAAGACCGAGCTGGATCGCAGCCTGAACAACCTGATCTGACCTTATGCCTGGCCCTCCTTGAGCAGGAGGTTGGACTAGAGACCTCCCAGAGGTTCCTTCCAGCCTGAATTATCTGATGATCATAAGATCTGATTCCTAGAAACAAAAGCTTCAGGAACATCTGGAGGATGTTTTGTGTTCTTAATAGGGTATGAAGAGAAAAACTTCAGTGAAACCAAAGAAGTTGAAAAAGCAAACAGTGTTTTATTCCAGTCCAGGCAGAACTCTTCCAAACCACAATGAAATGTGTGAACTGTGGAAGGAAATGATCCCTAGATCACCCCAGCTGTGGTCTCTCTGTCCTTTCCCCTCTAGATTGTTTAGAAATAATGATCATCTGTGCACAGCATTGGTGATTTGTGTTTTTCTGGCACATGAAGTCTTTGGTACATTATACAATTCCAGCATTCAGTTGTATCTAAAAGCTGTGGTTTCTGCTTTTTCTCTGTTTTGTCCATAGACCTTCTTTGGGGACTTACAGATTTATTTCCTTTTTTTTTTTTTTTTTTTTACTGGGTCACTTTACGTTAATGTGTATCTTTGTTTTGAGAACTGTGAAGCAAGATATCTGCAGTTGTGACCGGCAGCATTAAGATGAGCATTTGTTATTAAGAAGGTATTTCCTTGAGGAAAAAGACAATTGCCAAACCATTTTTTTCACGTTATGATTGTGATTTCCATGGAAGCTGGGAATTCCCCTTAGCTAACTGAATCTAAGTTAGTGGTGTGGTTTGTTTGTGGTTTTTTTTTTTTCCTTTAAAAGAATATTTGACTTCCTAAAATTGAATAAAAATACAAAACTGCTTTCTTCAGTTTGTTCCCACTTTTTTTTTTGAGGGGGAGGGGCTGTCTGGGATTCAGAATTTCTTCAATTAGTATTTCAGTGATGCTTTCATTCATGTTCTAATTTTCAGTTTCATCAAATAGCACTGTTCTCTTGTCCATATCCTCCTATAATAACATGGTGATGTGTTCTCACCAAACATCTAGGGCAGCAAAACTTAATAGAAAGAACGGAGTCTGCATCTCTACAGTGACAGTACATGGAACTTATCTAGGGAGAAATCTGTGGTGTGTGTGTCAAGTCTTAAGTATGTCAAGCATAGGAACTTTGCAAGTCCAGTGCTTTTCACCAACTCCCACATACTTTGTGGAAGAGAGGAAAAAGTAGTCATGGTTTTATTTTTAAAATAGGATATTATTGTAGGGAAAATATTGACTAAAACTTAGAGTGTTCTCTGATTCTTTCAGGTGAGTGCTGGGTAACGACTTGTGACTCAGAGGAAAAGGTGCAGTTTCAAGGTTAATGCAGAAACCTGGCTAATAGGCTGACTTAGGCTAAATAGTTTTAACAGGTGCCTTTCCTGCAGTGGTATAACTGGATGGAGTAAGTTGCTAATACTGTACACATGGGCATGACTAAGTCAACTCTTAGAGTATGTCTGTTTCAGCTTTGGCTTTCAACCACTCTAGTTGAATAGAAAGATTGTTAGGACTTAAAAAAAAAAAAGGATAACTAGGACAAATTCCAATTCACATATAGGGCTTTAATGTTCTATAGCCTATGTGATGGGTTTCTGTCTTTGCTGTTATGCTTTTATTGCTCTGTAGTTCCTGCAGTAGGAGAAGTTCTAGCTTTCCTTGTCACTTTGATACAAGGAGGCCATCTGCCAGTCTGGGTGTATTCCTTTTAAAAAAACACAGCCAAACAAAAAAACTTTAGAGATTCTAGAGGTTTCACTGTTAGAACTTGACTTTCAGGAATTTAATAGAATAGAGCCTCAAAAATTGCAAATAGAGGGGAATAATAATATCATTTATTGCCCAGAAGATACCAGTAGTATAGTCTGGATGTAATCTATAATTGCATTAGTTTTGCCTTTCTGCTGTGATACTTAAGTAACTTCATGTAAAGGAAAGGAAAATGCATTTTATGAGGTTGTCCTTCTAATGGAGGGCTTGGGTATTTATCATGGCATTTCGTAGTAAAACTTCA